TGAAAGTAATGCCAATTGGCTACACTAGAGGCTTTATTCCAAGGGCTGAAAAGTTAGCACCACCTTACAAGAGCCTATCATTCATTCTAGTCAAGGGCTGTACTTGTAACCCAGAGGCCTCCATGACTGATCATAATTATAGCAAACAGTGACTGGAATTGATCTTGGTAGTCCCAAGTTTGACTCTACCGCACATGTTCGTACATAGCCAAATGAAGTTTTGTCCCTAGTGAGTAATGATTTCTTCTTGTCGTGAATGTATCTCCCCTTAAAAGTCAGTTATTTGTATTGTTTATCATTTAAAAAACTACATTGTACATTTAGGTATTCTTGGTTAAAAGGTGAAAACAAAGGGGAAAATTAAAAACAGGATCTGAGTAAATAAAACAGTGACTCATGTTGCAGTTGCAAATAATTCCAAAATGGTTTTGTAAATGCATTAAATAAAATTTCAGAAACAACCTAATTTAAAGTATGAGTGAAATGTTTTCAGCCGTGAAAAATGTTCACGTGTGAAAATTATTGAAGACAAGGTAGACACTGTGCTTTGTGGGGACCCAACGAAAGTTGATCTGTGATTAAAATATTAATCTGGTAAAATATTCTCCTCTAGATGAGGTGAGCAAACATTTTCACCCTCAAAATAGTAATAATTTAAGTTACCACTTCTTAAGTCATGAGCCTTTTACATGAAGTTATAAAATAATTACTGTAGAAATAAAATCTTTCCGTCTCTGCAATTTTATGTACCTCAGTCATGTAGACAAGATTTTTTAAAAGCCACCAGCACATAAGACATCAGACAAAACAGAATAGACATAGCTGCCATTCTTTTGAGGCTTTTATTTAGGGTGGATTAATTTGTAGCATACCCAAATTTACCTATTGGAATTTTTCACAGTCTATAAAGGTCAAAATTAAAAATAATAATAATAATAATAACAAAGAAAACAGCAGGCAAATGGGTTCAAACGGTGTAACAACTTGTAAAAACTCATGAGTGACATAAAAGAATGGAAACAAAGAAGTCAACACAATAGAACCTAGGAAAACAAAAGGAGCGAAACAAAGAGAAAGTTCACAGGTTCTTACATCGGGTTAAACCCGGCAAATGCGACGTTTACACCCCTAGACTGCTGTAAATCCACCACAATATTAATAGATTAACAATGATCTTCCCCGTGGACACAAATAATTTATATTTAACGAACCTTGCATATAAGCTTACAGCTACAATAACTTAGTCTAAAATAAATTTCACTCGCAAACGTTCTTATATTGCCCGTATGTTTGCTCCTGACAACCACGATGCATAAATAAACATTTACTGCCACGTTTAAACACAATCTTAACCTTGAATTAAAATTTTAGCACCTTCTAAAATTGAAAAGTCTGACGAAGACTTTACGCCTCGTCTTCCCAAAAAAATCAAAACTGGATGTTTTCAACATTTTTTTCTTACAAAAGTAAGGTTAATGGATCAATTATAATGAGCTGTTTGGAATCAATTATAAGATTAAGCTTCATGATTCAAGTCGCGAGAATGTGTTTGCTTGACGGGTCATACTGTACTAGAGCTGTTGGTTTTTGACCGTGAAAACAGCACGAGAAGGAGGAACGTTAGGTGAAACAAAATGAATTACAAACAGTATCAAACAGAAGTGATAAATACACTGATATTGACGAAATCAATGATCTTCTCACCTTCTTTCGTCGGTTTCCCGGCCATGTTTATTTCAGGTTCAACGCCAGATGAGCCTGCGATGATTATCGCTGGTCAAATCACATGTCCACAGGGCATCCAGACTCTGTTTGATTTCTTTTGTACACAATCTTAGACTTATTATCCCCCTTATCATCGCTAACTGGATTTGTTCTTGGTAGTTCGGAGTAGATAGCCAACTGAGGTCAATTTAATAAAACTTTTACAAGTGTAACTTACGAGTGTAGCCACCGTTTTAGAGTCCGGAAACAATAGCTACACTTCAAAAATAAAATTTTAAAAATTTCATTAAATTGACCCCTGGTTTTCCTCTTAACAGTTGTGATTCTTAACCTTACTATGTTTATTTTCAAACGACTGTTGTTTCTGTCCTTATCAGTATGGGCCACAATAAAAAAACTACTGGGTCACCAGTAATTGTCTTACTCCTAAAGTCATTTTTTTAAAGTTCCCTACCCCTCCCATATGGAGTCATGTACGAACCCTAGTCACATTAAACAGTCATATATCTTGGGGTTGACGGAACGGGGGAGGGGTGGGAGCATGTTGATGTAGCCTGCAAAGAAGGCTTTCCTTTTGTTTGAGGGAGTCTTGCTCGCAGGCTAATGTTGATGTCGCTTTTTCATCCAGGGAAGAAGAGAAAGAAAAATGCACTGACCGAAACCTCTGTCTCTATACCAGAGCTTCCGCACGCCTTTTGACCAAACTACCCACAAACGGAAAACACCTTTAAAAAAACCGCCTGCTACGCAGACAAACCCGTCCAAAAGAATTGAAAGAAATACACACACGAAAATTTATTGAAAGATAACTGTGAATATTGATTACTGATAGAGTGGCATCTAATTTAAATCATGCCTTCCCTTCTAGTAAGATTGTTTTTATTTACGTACCAGAAAGACAGGTTGCCCGTGGACTATGTGGAAGTTCAGCAGACATACAACGTTCAATTAAATCGCAAAGGCAAGCACTGGAGGACTAAACGGTACTTCTGGTACTCAATTCACCGCTTTGGCGTTTGTTAAGTCCGTTTGCATATCTACGCGTGGTCATCATTGTCCCCGCCCCCCATCCCCCAACACACACACACCTCTTCTGTTGTCTTTGCAAAATCTGTCCAAGGACGTTGCTCCCCAATAATTAATTACTATATTGAGAAAGTTTAAGTCTTGTAATCAAAAGGTGAACTTTTATTAATATCATTGACCATTACTAATTAAGAGAGCTGTCTTCAGAGTGTTTCAGCTATGTCAACAGCAACAACAACAAACTATAACAATTGGAATCAACTCGGTAAATGTTCATGACCTGTATAGGGAAAACAAAACATACAAGCTAAAGAGGTCTGTTAGAGACCTTACGAAAACGAGACAGCGACGGCAATATGCCATTTTCACGATGACGACATTTGAAAACAACTACCAGAATTCATCTCGTTTTTGCTTTCTTGTTTAAATTTGTCAATCCCGCTGAGGATTAAAGAACAATAGCCTTAATTGGCATAAGAAAACAACACACTAAAGGATTCTGGGAGTTGTAGTAAAATGACGTTATCGTGCAATTGTCCTATTGGACTACCCAAAAAGCAACAGGTTTTATTAACAGAACAACAGATCTGTTTTGCGTTTCTTCGTTTTGTTTTGTTTTGCTTATTTACGCAAATTTCTTTGCCGTCCCTGCACAACTACGACGTGAAATGACCAAATTTTTAGTTTATTTGACAACAGGAACGGCAAGGCGAAAAATTCTTTTTCTGTCTTTTACTGAATTTGAACGCGGTCCGCTCTCCTCAGCGTCCAACTGCTTTTCCTTCTGTTAGGTATCTGCGCGGCCTAGAATAATAGACCAAGAAAGAGTGCGAAGTCTACTTTTGGCAAAGTTTTCATTGGTGTGGCCGTTACCGGATCGTAAGGTCCCTATTCAAGTAGGCAACACCGTTCTCAAACAGAAGGAAAACGAGAGGGAGACTGGGAACCAGGTTGCCACATAACTTTCATTAATAAGTCTAGTCGACATTTCATTTATTACTGAAAAAGTTTAAGTCTAGAAACCGCCGAGACGTCTAGAAACGAATCATTTTATTTGTCTTGGACAGTGAAGAAAAGAACTGTTTTTCGAGTGTTTCATGCTATTCCGTCAACAAGAACAACAACAAATTCATAAGAGTAAGAATCGACTAGATAAAGGTTACCTAGAATAACTTAACAGCTAATTGGAGTGAGTAATAACTGAAACGTTGGTATGTTACTTCGAAAAAAAAAAATGTCATGGGCAATGTCAAGAAAAGAAGCCCGTGGAGTGATTGATTGATTTACCTCAATTCAATAATCAGAAATAAGAGAGACATGCACGGCAGTAAGAGCGCCTCAAAATAGTACGGTTAATGAGCACAACGTGCACGTACGTCACTATGCCGAAAGTCAGAGAAAAACACTCACGCTACGTAGTTAAATAACTAATTTACGGCTTTGACGAAAACTTGATCAATTATAGTGTAATACTATTCTTCACTTAACCTACGTGTAGCCGCCCCCTCCCCCCCTGACTACGCGTAGACTATTCTCCACTCAAAAAAACAACAAAACGCCCGTGAATTCAAACACATTATCATCATGCAAAGGAGCATAATTAAAAATAATTTTGAATAAATCAGTTAAACGTAGTTTAAAACATTTTACAGCAATATGCATATGTTTTCATCTCTAATATTTCACAAATGTTTCTACGATCCGAATTTCAAAGCACAAGCGTTCGAGTTTTATGAAAAGTTTGTTCCTGATAACGGTTTCCTTATGCTCGCCCTCACACATTGGCTACCTAAACAACCATCATGACGCCCCCCCCCCACACCCGACACGATCCATTATTGTCCACAACACGTATCTTCCTCTATACTTGTCAACCTCCTCCGGTAAAGCTGCAGTTTATCAAATTGCTTATTTTCCTTTACTATCTCCTCTTTCAATTTTATTTCACACTAAACCTTTTTTTATACAAACTCCCCCACACATTGGCTACCTAAACAACCATCATGACTCCCCTCCCCCACCCCCACCCCCTTTTCTATCAAAATTTTGCGCCATGATTAAGCCATTTCCGAGTGGCCCCAAGCCTATAAGTGCGAAGCTGTTGATATGAAAATAATAATTTATTCTCACGGAATTAAAAGTCGTTTTCACAAGAAACGTTTACTACTTAGCCTCGTTTTGTAAGGGAGAGTTTTGGAAATTCAGAAATAGCCTACATCATATGTTACACAAACAATAACAATAGAAAATTACGAGCACCGGTAGCGACTCTCTTCAAGAAACTGCTTCGTTTCCTTATGACCAAACTTCTCAGCACATGCCGCTGCTGTAAGGCCTTCCTTATCAACAGCAAATAAATCGGCTCCATTATCCACCAACAGGCGGACAACTTTCAGGTGCCCTGAACCTGCAGACACGTGCAGTGGTGTGTCTCCATTGCTATCAACCGCATTTACATCACTGCCTTCAAGAATCAGCCTTCCCACTATGTGCTTCCTACCAAAAGCCGCAGCTGTATGGAGAGGGATACTACCTTCCGAGTCTCTTAAGCTAATGTTTGCTTTATATTCTAGAAGCAGCGAAACCATGTTGCAATTGGATTCTTTTGAAACCAACTCATCACAAAAGGCAGAAGCAAGATGCAAAGGAGTGCTTCCTTCATTGTCTCTTGCGTTGGCATCAGCTCCATGTCTGAGAAGAACTCGAGCAATTTTCGTTCGATCAAAAACAGCGCAGATGTGAAGAGGTGTACATCCTTTATCGTCTCTAGCCTCAAGATTACTAAAGACAAAACTCTCATGTAAATAAAATGTAAAGAAGCAGTAATTAGTATAGGTAATAGGCATGATTTGTAGTGATATCTCGAAATTGTTATACGTAATTTCACGAGCCGAGTGAAATTTGAGACAATTTTGAAATATCACGAGTGGTATTTATACCAAATATCACGTACAAATCATGCCATTATTTGTTATACTATTACCCGCGAAAGGTTTGTAATTTTTACATGTAGGTATTTCATATTAAGCTGAAATACCACTGCTCTAAGCCAATCAAATTGCAGAAAGTTTCCATGTAGTGGTATAAATATTAAAAAAAGAAGAAGAAGTGGACAACAATTAACATTGATGGTGCATTCGATTGACTTTATTTTGGAACAGAAATGCGCTGATCGAGGATAATTCACCCAGGAATAGTCTTTCCTCCGGAATAGAAAGACAGAGAATATATAAGCAACGGAAAACGTTTCCCTAGTTCTATAATAACCGCCGTGCCATGTAAAATTTCGTCCGCTAGATCAAGCAGTTTTTAATGTTTATGCACTTTTAGCGCTTTTACGCAAACAATATAGTATTTTCTTGTTTTCGAATTTTATGGAAACTTTCTGGGTGAGATGGGAGATTTCCACATTCTTTTGTTATATTTATGATGATGATCACTATAATATAAATATGGCGCCAACGACTGGTGTTTCTCATCGGCAGTGGGTCAGTGGAAGGATATTTAAGCAACAGACCACACTTTGTATGGGTTTACCGCGTGATAACCTACTTGGGATGCTGGGAGAAGACGGGAAAAGCTTGTAAATCATTCGCCTTCGGCTCGAGATTTACAAGCTTCTCGAATGTTCTCCCAACATCCCAAGTAGGTTATCACGCTGGTAAACCCACAGGAGCACGTCTGCGATGATATATTGCGTAGCTGATCATAATTTGTGATCAAAACGTTGAACTTTGGACAGTCACAGTGGTCTTGATAGGCGAGGAGAAGCTTTTTATCATTGTACTACCTCTTCCGCAACTGAAACAAGTTTTTAAAACAGTCATCCACCGTTAAGATATAAAGCTTTGCATCAAGCAAAGTTTATGTAGGACTAAATTAGCTGTTTGTTTTACCTTCCGTGGCTGATCATGATTGAGACCCACTCATCCTGGAAAGCGGAATACCACGACGGCTGAATATCAGCTGGATTCAGGCAGAGGAAGTCATAGCCATCATTATAGCTGCAACCCGCGTGGAGAGGAGTGGAGCCTTTATAATCCACTGCGTTGGGATTACTGCCGTGTTTTAAAAAAGGCTCCACAAGCCAATAATAATGGAAAGACAATGCATTGTGAAGGGGTGTGCATCCCTGTTCATCTTCAACATTCACTTCTGCTCCATGAGCGACCAGCATCTGGACAATATCTTGCGCACCAGAACAACTCGCCATGTGCAGGCACGTTCTACCCTGTACGTTTCTTGCATTAACACCGCTGCCTTCTTTAATGAGGAGCTCTGCAATGTCACACCTAACCTCAGCTGCTGCTATATGAAGCGGGGTGTTTCCTTGATTGTCTCGGGAACGAATATCGGCCCCAGCGTTCAAGAGAATACGTACATCGTCTATAGAAAAAGTCGACGGATCATTAAACATTGACGAAGTTCTCGGCCTGTATATCGCAAGGTGAAGGGATGTGTTACCATAAATGTCTGCTTTTTGCAAGTCTGGTTTGAGTTTTAGCAAAAAATTGCTTCTGTGATGGACTAAACTAACATGCAATGGTGTTTGTCCCCTTTTGTTAACAGCGCATACGTCAGCCCCTCTATTCACGAGATGTTGTATCATTTCCTCGGCTCCGCACGCTGCTGCCCTGTGTAAAGGAGTTTCTCCGTTCTTGTCTCTTGCCTCGAGATCCAATCCATGTTCCAACAAGTCGTCAACGGTAGAAACAAACTGATGGCTTGCAGCAAAGTGAAGAATTGTTCGACCAGTTTCGTCATCGACTGCGAACTTGTCGCCTCCGTTTTCAAGATAGTGTTTTACAAAGTCCCTGTAATAAAAGTCACTTGAGTAATCCAATTTGAATGTCGCACCAAGAAGGGTTTGTCCCCTGTAATCTTTTGAATTGATGTTGCTTCCATGACTTAACAACAGTTCAATCGATGCAAGGCAGCCTTTCCTTCCTGCTAAATGGAGAGCAGTTCTGCCGGTTTTATCGACAGCTGCGACATCACTTCCGTTCTCAATCAAAACCTCTAAGGCATCGTAGTTTTCTCCAGCAGCCGCAAAGTGAAGAGGCGTCCAACCATGATTATCTGTTGAGTTAATATCAGCACCATGGTGAATCAGCAGCTCAATAGACCTAGGATGACCTTGATAACAGGCTGCATGCAGAGGAGTACGATTTTCTTTGTCTAGAGCTCCTACGCGCGCACCTTGATCAAGAAGCATCTTCACGATATCTGGGCCCCATGCCAGTTGATGTAAAGGTGTTTCTCCGTTGTCATCAGTGATATTTACGTCAGAGCCATATTCCAGAAGAAGCTCGCAGATTTCCACATCGGAAGAACGGAGACGATGAAGAAGAGGGTAGATTCCGTGCTGGTCGGTGGCGTTTACTGAGGCTCCATGTTCCAACAAAGTTCTCACGTTCGAAGCTCTAGAATGGTCTACGGCCTTCATAAGTGGTGTCTCACCAAATTTGTTCTTTGTATTGGCAGTGCTACCACACTTCAAAAAGAATTTAACCAATTCATTGTCCGACTCGGCTGCTTTAAAAAGAGGCGTCTCACCTAATCTATCTTTAGCCTCCAAATCAGCACCATGTTCTACCAAAAACTGAGCGATTCCGTTGAGAAAGCAGCAACGAACAGCGGCATGTAAGGCTGTATGTTCATCTCTACCACATTTTTGATTTACATCTGCATCGCACTGAAGCAACGCTTCAGTAAGTTTGTGTTGGCCTTTTATGACAGCAAGGGAAAGTGGAGATTCTCCTAGAGGGGCCTCAGTGTTTACCGCACAGTCGAGTTCAAGTAGTAAGCTAATAATTTTCTCCTCCTCGCAGTCTATCGCACAAAGTAGTGGAGATTCAAACCTATTATTTAGAGCGTTAATATCTGCACCAAAAGAAAGAATAAGCTTAAACATTTCCATGCTTGTTTGTTTTCGAAAAAGGAGATGAAGGGCCGAATTTCCATCTTCATTCTTTGTATTGACGTTCACACCGTTTCGAAGAAGATGCGACACTAACTCAAAATCCATACGACGAACAGCCGACGTCAAAATCGTGTCTCCATTTTTCAAACGGAAATCTTCGATGACATCGAGTTTATCAAGTAATTGCAGAACATCAAATAGGCCATACTTGGCAGCAAGATCGCTTAAAGCTCTAAATGTACCACTGTTTATGGGTGAAACATTTGCCCCTGCTTCTATTAGAAGTTTCGCCACTTCACCTTGGCGTGCACGCACGGCAGCATAAAGAGGGCATATATTCCCCCAGAAGTGTCTATCTTCCCACGAATTTGACTCCATTTGCCTTTTTCGGAGACGTTCTTCTCTTGAGGTAACATTCCCATTAATGTTGGCTCCGTGGTGTAGGAGCAACCTCACTACATCACAATGACCCGCGGATGCTGCCTCTTCCAGAGGTGTTAGCAGTGAAGCACTTTCGCTATGAATTACATCCGCAGATACACCGTTGCTTAGAAGAAATTCTACAGTAGCTGTTAAACCTTCTCTTGCAGAGGACTGCAACAAGTCAGCCTCATAAAACCCTAATAGGTTTGGGTCACTTGAAAGCAAGGGCTCGCTCCCTTTGTCAATTAGAAACTTGGCCGTGGTAACATGACCTCCCTTTAAAGCACAGTACAGGGCCAGCAGACCGTCCTTGTCTCTTGCGTTAATATCAGCACCACGGTCTAGAAGATAATTTACTGTGTCGGCTTTTCCCATTTCAGCAGCCACATGTAATGGCGTTCTTCCGCAAATATCAGTTGCCTGGATGTTGGCTCCACGTTCAACAAGAATCATCACCAACTCTAAACATGTTGCCAGGTGAAGTACGGTTGTTCCGCGGACCGTCGAAGCCAGAACATTTCCATCCAGTTTAAGTAGGAACTTGACAACTTCCGTACGGTTTCTTGACACAGCAGAATGCAATGGCAACCAGGCCATTTTGTTTCCTCTATTTAATTCTCCTCCATTCTGTAACAAAACCTGAACAGTTTGCAGGTGTCCCTTTTCAGCTGCTAACATAAGAGGAGTGTACCCAGGGTTATCATAGGGCCGCGAAAAGTCGTCTGTGAAAGAATCCCGTGAAAAGCCATTATTACCACAGGGATGCGTAAATTCGTTAACATCAGCACCATGTTCAATAAGCAGACGGACGCAATCTGTATGACCATTTAAGGCAGCCAAATGTAAAGCTGAGTAGCCTTTTATATCCTTTTGCAAAACATTGACACCACACTCGATTATTCTTAAAAGATTTCTCACTTTTCCACCCTCAGCAGCATAATGGATTGAGGTACGTAGTTGATCGTCAATCCATTCTGGAGAGCTACCTTGTTCAATAAGAAATTCAAAGACCTCCTCGTCATTACATTTCGCAGCCAGCATAAGAGGAAACGGACCTTCACTTGACCAATCGTTCTCCACAGTATTAAGCTGCTCACCGCAATCCAGCAGCCTACGTAGATGGTGAACCTTTCCTTCTCTTGCAGTTACATGAATCAGAGACTGAGAATGAAACTCGCTACAGATTGTTTCAACAAGCTTGAAAATCTGCTTATGTCTTGAGGACTTGTGCAGCATTAATACCGTCCACAGTGACTTACCGGGAAAGTGCAACGAGCTGCTTTTGATTTTGACATTCAGTGCTATAACACTGTCAAGTTTGCTTGGACTGTTATTCTGGATCGCCGTAAACGTTTTTACGTCCCCGTCAATGCAAACTGATTGCAGGCGACTCAGGCCACTTTCCTTGTCTGGTGTAATCAACGCATCAAAGGCCAAACTCTTCAAGGAAAGCTGTCAAGAAACATCAAAAGCGTTTTTCAGGACCAACAGCCAACAACCAACAACCCCTACAGTTTTCGAGTGCCGCACGTCTAGTTATGGACCGCACGTCAGTTATCTGCGTCAGCACTTTTATTCAAAAAGTTAAGAGTGTTAAATATTATACTGGAATAAAAGTCATTCATTATTATTGTTATTATTATTATAATGGAAGTAAAAACTTCTGAATGCCCTAGAGTAAAAAAATAACCAAATTGGGTGCTCAGCACAGCCTCTGGACTATATCTAAAATTTGGAAAAATCCTTTAAAATCTAGGTATTAGCGGAGCGCGCGCAGCGGAGCACCATACCTTTAGAAAATGGAAACCTATCGATACCAGAAAATTTGGTTATGACGTCAGAGTACGAAAGCCTGCCCGTACAGACTCTGGCGAGAAATTAACCATTCTAGGGGCAACCAACAGAGTTGCTCGAGTAAAATCTAGATTGAAGTTCCTTGTCTTCGTCTCTAAGACAAAATTTTCGAAAATAAATTTCCAAGGCTTTACGTTCTGCTTGGTCACGCTTTTGGTCACACTCCAGGGACAACCTAGTCTACCCCCCGCCCCCCTTCCTCTCCTCCCCGCTTAGTCAAAATTGTGACAGGTGATCGTGAATTCATGCGTGTCAACTTATGCAGTATATATAAATTTGTTTGCCGTCAGACTACTTGCTGACAAATGAAGCCTTGTTTCCATTTTATTTAAGCTTTAATATGAAATACAACTGCTGTCAAGGCTCTTTTTCTGTTTTTCACAACTGAACAAAGAAACATGCAGGCTTTAACAGCAGAGTAAAGGAAAAGTTTCTGACCTCACTTACTCACTTTGAGGAGCTGCATCCAAGGTAAGCCTGAGTAATTTTTACAGTGTTTGTCTCGTTTTAATTTTGTTGCTAAGTCAAGCGTAGGCTCAACTATTTCATGTCATATTAAAGATTTGAGACAAAAATGGAAAAAGAAAGTTTTAAAGAATACCCAGTTCTAGTGATTGCCGGCAAAAAGTAAGGACAATTATATTAGTCAACTAGAAATACGTGTATCGCAGAACCTCGCGAAGCTCGTGGGGGGGGGGGGGGGGCCCTGGTGGGGGGGGGGGGGGGGAGGCCTATAAAATGTCAGGGGTGGAAGGAGGAGAGAATTGGAGTAAATTGTGTAGTTTGGGAGGGCGAGTTTCAACACTGGCTCTAATATTGGAAGGTGAGATGTAGTTAATCGCCTTTTCGTTGGAGTAAATTTCAACCCAGTGCTCTTTTATTAAAAAGGATTTTCTGGGATTTAAATGGGGTTGGTGTTGTTAAGGAAGGGTAGCCAATGTTTCATAGTGTAGTGTATTAAAACTGGATGTTTGAGTTAACCGGAAGTTTATGTATTGGACATACCACAATGCCATATAATTGTTTTGTTGTAATCCTATAACATCGTGATTGTAAAGCATTAAAATACTGAATTTAACATCTGGAGACGAGGATGGGATGGTAAAGGATACCTTCTTGAAAGTTTTAAACGAGATTTGCATTTGTTAGGAGACGTAGTTTGGTGTGATGCCCGGGGGATCGGATGAGACAGGAAGTTCGGCGACTGCTGCCACTAACAATGGAGTTGTGACGCCGGTGGTTGTGGAGGTCGGTGGTTTACAGCCTTTTCAAGTAAAAGGGACCCGCATTCCATTTCACAGCGTTGGAGAAAATGGAAAAGAGCTTTCGAGTTATACGTACTGGGAAAAGGGATCACAAGTGACTCGCAGAAACGTTGCCTTTTGCTGCACACGGCCGGTCTCGAGGTGCAAGACGTTTATTTTACTCTCGTGCCTGATGGTGAAGATAAGGATTACCCCACCACGCTTAAGGTACTAGAGATTACTTTATTCCTAAAGCCAATGTACCTTTCGAGAGACACTTGTTTCGCCAAATTACTCAAAGTAGAGAGGAGACTGTTGATCAATTCGTCTGTCGGCTGCGCTAACGCGCGGCCTCATGTGACTTTGGGGAGCGGGAGGACGAGTACATCAGAGACCAGTTAATTGATAAATGTTATTCTGTGAAGTTGCGTCGAAAGTTCCTTAAAAAGATAGCAGTGTTACTCTGAATGATCTCTTAATAACTGCTAGAGCTCAGGAAGCAGTTGATTTACAAACAAACCTTCGGATTTCACATGGACTGATCATATTGAACACCTAACTGGGAAAATCAATCAGAGGCTTGGGCTTCTCAAGCGTATAAAGCATTTATTGCCTTTCAGGGTGCGTCTACTTTTCTATAAAAGTCTTGTTATGCCCCTTTTTGAATATGCTGATCTAGTATGGGGCGATAAACATAATATTACCCTTATGTTTAGTTTGCAAGTTTTGCAAAATAAGGCCGCTAAAGTTATTTTAAATAGACCATTGTACTCATCCTCCACTGAGGCATTAGCCGTTCTCAAGTGGCTGCCTCTAGAGAAAAGGCGATTTCAAAGAAGGTGTGTACACGTATACAAATGCATCAANATAGAGTGGTTTTCGTTTGAGTGTCGTAAAACCAAAACCAAAGTAATTACTCTGGCCAATCACATAGGACACAGACAATACATTGAACCAATCAAAACTCGAAGTAATTACATGTGGCTGACGCAAAGCGCGGGAAAATCGTGCGAGCGCGTCACAATTGGCTTTGGTTTTACTTCTGATTGGATGAAAAGGTGGCGCGAATCTTTTAAGCCAATCGCATCGTGTAGAAAGTGCAAAACCAATTACTTTTCGACACTCAAATGAAAACCGCTCTAATGCTGAGACACTTGTTCATGCATTTATTTCATCTCAGTTGGATTTCTGTAATGCTCTTCTATATGGCTTACCTCAATCGGTTATTGATAGGCTACAGTATGTACAAAACTGCGCAGCTCGACTGGTGACTAGAACTCGAAGCTCAGAACGTATAACACCAGTTCTCCGTAGACTACACTGGCTACCAGTTAGACAACGAATTACGTACAAAATTACTTGCACTTATTTTTAATTTTTTATGCATTTTTTGTATCTTTTTAATCCCTTTGCAATTTTATAGCTTTTTTGTTTTTATAATATATATCTAGTTTTGAGGTCCTTTTTGAAAACCATATCTTTTATGAAAAAGTTTCCTCAATAAAGATGATGATGATTATTATTATTAACGGTGGCAATGGGAGGGAACGCTAATTCAGAACAAGTCAATAATGTCACTAATACTGGGTTGAATAGGAATGTTGACAGGAGGAGTTGTTTTAACTGTGGCCGGGATGATCATTTTGCAAGGGATAGAAGATGTCCTGCAAGGGGTCGTAAATGTGACCAGTGTGGAGAAATAGGTCATTTTAAAGTGCAGTGTAGGAGAGGGACATCCCGAAATTCTCAGCAGTGGGAAAGACGAGGTATCAAAAGCCGAGGTACGAAAGTTGAGCCAAAGTTAACTGATAGCGGCAAGAAGACAAACACAAATTATGCAGGTGGTGACGGCGAAAGAAGCGAAAGTTTAGAACGGGATGAAAAACCCAGCACTGGTCCGGAGTATGTGTTTTCTGTAGGAGATGATACACGACAAAGTAATGGAGTAGTAACCCTACGTGTTGGAGGTGTCCATTTGCCAAATGTCCTAATTGACTCTGGTGCGACAAGCAACCTGCTAGGCAAACCAACGTGGGATGGCTCAAGACTCAGAGAATTCAGTGCAAAACCCGAAAAGATGCCAAGGTCTTATTTGCATATAGGAACACTAAACCACTACCAACCTTGGGAACATTTACTGCCCATGTCATGTGTACTGACACTAATGCTACTGTTGAAGTTGACTTTGTGGTTATAGATGGAGATGGCAGGACTCTACTATGTCGAGACAGCGGAAAAAAAACTGAACCTATTACGCATTGGACCCATTCATTCTGTTGAGTTGAAACCGGTTGCACATTTGGTGTGAGGGAGAAAGTGGAGAAAAAGTTAGATGATTTGCTGGCTTGTGGGATCATAGAAGAAGTACCAGAGGGACCAACCAGTTGGGTCTCCCCCCTTGTTGTTGTACCCAAACCTGACGGTGATGTTAGAATTTGCGTTGACATGAGGCGCGCCAACCAAGCAATCGTTAGAGAACGTCAGCCCATCCCCACTGTTGAAGAAGTTCTCCAAGACTTGAATGGCGGCACAGTATTTAGCCGTGTAGACCTGAAGTGGGGGTTTCATCAGATACTTCTTGTAGATGAGAGTAGGCACGTGACATTTGTGACTCGCCGCGGTCTTTACAGATATACCCGTCTCATGTTTGGGGTGACCTCAGCACCCGAAAAAATCAACAAATCATCCGGGATGTATTGCGTGGTTGTAAAGGGGTCATCAATATTGCGGATCACCTAGTTATTCGTGGTAATGGTGTTGAGCAACATGATGAGAAGCTTTTTGTTCTGCTCAGCCGGTTAAAGGAGGTGGGTTTGACATTGAATGGGACAAATGTGAGTTCAGGTTACCAAGGTTGACATTCTTTGGTCATCGGGTGAGACAGAATGGGGTAGAACCTAGTGAGGAGAAAGTCGCCGCAATCCGGAATGCAGATCCACCGCAGAACGCCAGCGAGGCACGATCATTCCTGGGTCTGGCTCAATTTGTGTCTAAGTTCATTTTAAACCCGCCCACTGTTGCAGAGCCTATCCAGAGACTAACTCACAAGAGTGTGGAGTTCAAGTGGCAGTCGGAACAACAGGCTGCATAAGTTAAAGGAACTGATCACAAGTGCAAGTGCATTAGCTTACTTTGATGTAAACAGTAAGACAAGGATCGTGACGGATGCATCGCCTGTTGGTTTAGGTGCTGTGTTGATTCAGTTGCAAGGAGTTGAGTAGAGGGTTATTGCTTATGCTTCAAGAGGTCTGACAGATGTAGAAAAGAGGTACAGCCAGACAGAGAGAGAAGCCCTGGCACTGGTGTGGGCTTGCGAACGCTTTAACATGTACATTTTTGGAAGGAATTTTGAACTAG